GTATATAATGAAAAAAAAAAAAGAGATCATTCCATAAAAATGAACACACAAGATACACAAGGTGTATTGGAAACGCAAAAGAGAAACACACAGCTGCACATAACGTGCAATGAAATTATAATGAAACAAACACACACACACAGAGGGGAAAAACAATAAAAACAAAACAAAAAAAACAAAGAGAGCCGTGATCACCATGTGAATATGTTCAGGAGGCAAGAACACAATTCCCAGCAGTAGGTGTGTGTGTCTTTCGTACAGGGCGAGCAATGGGAATGATGCACACATGATGACAGTCTACACACACACACAAAGGGAAGGAGGGTTGATGGTGTGTGTGTGTTTGTGTGTCTTGAACCTCCTGCCATTCTTCACATTTCAGTCACAGCAATCAAAACACATCGGGATTGTATCTCATTCCCATGGGTAAAAGCAATAGCTATTAATATCACGGATCACACACACACACACACACACATCACCAGGTGAACACAGTGAACGGCGGCAAAACAGTGCCGAGGGAATAATGCCAACAAAGAAAGAGGACACTCCCCTCACAAAATAATGGTTTGTCATCTGATGAGTGCCATAGGGAGTCCAACAGATGTGTTCAGTTAAAAAAGTGCAAACAAGAGATTTATCGTGGTGGGGAGAGAGAAAAAAAAAACAATAAAATTCAACCAAAAAGAACAGTGCTCTTACAATACATCCATGTCCACTCAAACAAAGGTTAACTGTGTAACTGTGTCATGGGTACACCGATCAGCACACGAGAGTGCAACCCAACACACACATCAGAACAAGAAGCAGCAATAAGGGACTGTGCATCAATGCAGGACTACTGCTGCCGTCTTTCTTTTTCTTTTTTTTCTCCATCTCTTCCTTTGCTTTTTTCTCCAACTCCTGTTTAGCCTGCTCTTCTTTGGCCTTTCTTGCCGCTTCCTTTGCCCTTTTCACCTCTTCTTCAGCTTTCTTTCTCTCCTGCTCTTTTCGCCTTTCTTCGGCATCCTTTCTTTCCTGCTCCTTTCGCCTCTTTTCCTCTTCTTCGGCCTTCTTTCTCTCCCGCTCCCTTTGCTTTTCTTCATGGAGGCTCCTCACTTCTTGTTCCTCCTCCTCTTTTTTTCGCACCATATTCTCCCTTGCCTTCTCCCGTGCCGCCGCTACTTCCGCCTCAAGTTTGGTTTTGTTTGCTGCCGTCCTTTTTGTTTCATGGTGTTTGACAGCCCCCGCAAACGCGCTTGCAGACGTTCGACCGACAACGAACATTTCCCCATCCGCTTTCGTTTTGTTGTTGAAATAAGTTACGCGTACCAATTCCTCCCCCAGTGATTTCTTAACAGCCTCGGCGAACTTCTTTACCGCCACTCCGTACCCCATCTTTTCGTCTGGAATTCTTCCTTTCTCCTCCTCCATCAATTTACCCGCCGTGTAAATCTTGTTCTTCGTGACGATTACACCATTACTTAGTTCCTTCGCGCAGGCAATGCTTCTTCGTTTGATCACCAGGAGCTCATGATAGGTCTGATTCATATCATCATATACTCTTTTGCTCCTCTTAATGAGCGCTCCCTGTGCCACCGATCTTTTTTCTTCATCCACTCCCTTAAGCACTTCTGTATGTTGTTTTCTGCTGTTGTTTCGATTCTCCCACACAACCTTCATCTTATCTATCGCATCCCCGCCCATTCGAACCAAATATCTCGCCTCTTCGACTCTAACCCCTGCGTCTTGTAACACATTCAAATCTTTCTCCACCTCCTCTGCGGCTTCCTTCACGAGCTTAACGAATTTATCACGTACCGCCCCCTCACTCCAAAGACCTTTATCACGTCTTAACCTCTGCTCGACAATATATTTGCGAAGATTATCCACCCTATCTGCGACCTTCCTGGCTGCTTTGGCATTCGTGATGCAAGACTCCACGGTGGCATTCCACACCTCTTTATAGCCTTTGCCTTCCACAAGCGGTTCCTCCCACTCACTCACCCACTTCTCCAAGAACTGCTCTGCTTTTTTTTGAACGGCATCTTCTTCCGCATGGGTCACACACATACAGCACTGCAGAAGTACCAACAGGTACACCAGACGGCGCAGTTGGACGAACATCGTTGTCATGATTGTCACTGTGAGTTGCCTGGATCTATGGTAACAAGGAAGAAGAGAAAGTGGAAAGAAAAGAAGGAGAAAAGAGACACACATTTAACACACAATGCAGTGGGTACACAGCAACACAGAAATAAAAAGAGAGTACGCATCACATCAGCAATCAAACACAACCCAATGAATGAACAACAGTAAACCACTCACACAATAAAACACACCCAGAGTTACACAGATATTAAAACAACACCTTGGATTTAGAAGAAGTGGAAAACAAATGGTATCAAAACAATATTAAATAAACGTCTCTACACACACACTCCAATATCTTACTCGGTATTCATACACACAACGTGTGTCTGTATTCTCATTATAGTAAAACCATTACCAGGCAGTTCGAACACCAAAATACACCAAAAACACAGTGTGTACGTCTGGCAACATACAAAAACAATACCACAAATCATCATCAAAACAAAGAGACTGTACAATAATCAACACACTTCCAAACAGAAAAAAAAAGAAAGAAACCAATGCATCACCCATAATATTTATACCAGCACCACACTTGGAATCCAAAACCCACTCACCCACAACCATAACAAAAATGACTGCATACATCACTGTAATACCATGCCACTCTTTACAAACAGAGGCAACACACAATTACTCTCTCACACACATATTACCTCTTTATTTATCCTTATTACTATCATTTTATTTTTCCCTCAGAATGCCGGTTCACTTCTTCTTCTCCCAGAACATTATCACCAAAAAAAAAAATCACATCCTACCCTTTACGTCCCTCACCCCACAATGTGTATTAGGAGGGTACGATTAAACATATCCCCTTCTCTCTCTCCCCCTACCCAAAAAGGACACCACGTTTTTCTTTTTGTTCTTCGTGTCTTTATGGATATTACTCCAATGGAACAGGACATCAAGAATAATACATAAATATACATAAATATAATTTCTTTTTATATTATTTTTTTTACTACCGTTAGGCATGGGGAGTACGCATTGGTAATGATATTACAATGGATCCTGTAGATGGCAGAGCAAGGATTTTTATTTTCGCCCCTCTGAGTCCCCTCAGCGGCCAAATCTAATCTCCACTGGAGGGCATAATTGTTACTATCTCTAGGGTCCCTGCCTCTCCCTAGCAGCATTCACACTAAGGTGAAATATGTAAAAGAAACTGCTGCTGATGGTACGCTGATACACGCCCCAGGGCCTTCTTGGATATCGTTTTGTCCCAGTACGACTCTGCTGATCCCGGTGCTGTATGACGTTTGTAGCTTATGAACCCAAAAACTCTCAAGAAGAGAATTTGGTGTTCCATGGCTTCCCTCAAAATAATACGGGATAATGAGCATTGGCTTCACATTTCGATGGCCAAACGCCACCAAGGGAATGCCATTTCTAAGAGCGCATGTGTTGAAAAGAAAAATAAAAAGAAATTGGTTTTTTAGGAGACTACCCACTTGAAACATTTAGTGAGTGAGTTTGGTTTCTTTGAATAAATTCATCTACTCCACCTTGGCACAATATGAAGGCAGCCCTCATTACCAAGGACCTGTTTCTGTACAATTCCTACACCTCGCAAACCCCATGGAAGTTATAAATGAAATGAAAAAAAATTCATAATGTCACTCTTATTGTTCACACAATCATTCAAAAGTTTAGCTTTATGGTTTTGATTCCTGCGTTTATAAAAATATCGAACCCAATGATTCCGCCGCTCTGTGGTAATATCTCACTCTTTTGTGCAGAAGACGCGTGAACCACAGTGGAAGAACACCATCACCAGCACCTATGACGACTTATATACTTAAGGGGTTCTTTGCTGGTAAAAGATTTTTCTTTATCCTCACGTTTCTTGCTTCACAATAAGATAACATGGCGTTTTCTATCGCCACTATTTCTCCAATTCGAAGTTTTTGGTACGAGGAAAGCAGCGGTAATAACAACAACAACCCAGGTATTGACGACTTCCTTTGCGCAACGGTAATAATTACAATAAAGAACAACAATAGTTTATATATTAACCGCTGTTGACTTCCCGTGCCATATGGCCAACATCCTTAAAGATGCGAGGAACAAAAAAAAAGATAAAAAGAAGAAAAAGAAAATTTCTTCTTTCCATACGCTTTTCTGAAATTCCCACCAAAAAAAAACCGATGGGCAATTCAGATTCTATTCTCCTGAGCTTTGAAACGGGGAAATGACCCAACTTTCCTTCACCAACATTGGCTAGATATTCTATTTATCAGTAATTAACGTTTGTTGTTAAACCATTAGAAAAACTAAAATACATGTGGAAAATACGTTGGGATAAAAAAAAAACTGACGACGGTCGCTACCCTTCGCGGATTTTAAAAGCTAAAAGCCACGAGGGCCACGCCGTAGTATTAATTACCCGTGCAGTGAAACATAAACATTGGTCTTGTAAGCTTATGAATCGTGTTTCTTCCTTCCACCCTTGGCCATCAGCAGTGGAATGGGTAAGGTGTTTCCGCTCCGTTTCCTTTACTTCTGGTAGCGTGCCGTTGCAAGACCGATGCGGGACGGTTTGTGCCCACCAAGAGGCATCATGGAATCTTGGAAAGGGTTCTATTTTTGTGGTGGAGCTCCTTAAAAGTTGCTTTGAAGCCAAGCTCAAAAACTTTTATTATTATTTTTTTTTTTCAGAGACATTATCCATTTAATGGCTGGAATTAGGTCGCCTTTGATGAATATTTATTACCTTGGCGCTTTACATATTTTTCCCTGGCGTTCGGCGCAAAAGGGGGGTTATCGCTGTACACGTTCGCATGTATTTTATGTTTTGAAATAATCGCGCTTAAACATCGTAATGGGGCTTATTTTACAAAGTAACTCTAAGAATGAACACGATTTCACCCCCGAAAGGAACCCAACCCTGAAGCAGGATCACCCCCGATCCCTAGTGAGCGACAAATTTCTGATAACCCCTTTCTTTTTCTGTACCGAAGATACTTTCTTCGGTCAGAACCGTTGGGGTTAAAAAACAAAGGCCCCTCGACCCTGCCTTACCTGGGTGGCGGGCGGTAGGTCAAAATTTGATCCCTTTTTGTTTCGTCACTCTCTTCCTTTCCCCTCTAAGCTTTTTTTTTATTCAGGGAATTCAAAGGCACGCCCAGACGGGTTGGTGAAAAGGAGCCGGTGGCCTTTCTTTCCTGAAGCGAGATGTGTTGAAGGTTAATCTGGGGAAATCTGCCATTCATATTTTTTTCTCTGTCGCTGGGGTTTCTTGGTCCTTTAGGTGTTGTGTTCAAACCCGCCAAAAATATCAAAACCCGAACTGACGCGACATTATGTCCGAACCACGGGCTTTGGAGAGGACTTCTTTTTATCGCGGAGCAGCGCAGGCGACAACCGAAGGAAAGAGATTTCTCCCACCACGGAGAATTAAAATGGAATCACCACCACCTTGCGCGACAGCATATTGCATTTTGGTCCAAGCCACATTGGGTAACAAAAACCTTAGCAGCCTTTACACCATCCTTCCCGCACTGCCCGCTTTCGAAGTTTGTTCTAGCGCCCGCTGCTGTGGCAAGTGCGGTTCCCCGTTTTGAAAAAGAAAAACCTTCGCAGATCAACGCTGCTTGTGGCAAGCGGTTTGGTTTCCGCTACAAGGTGCGAATTGGCACTCCAAAGAAATAGGCGGAGCCCTCGGGAAAGAGAGATGCGCGTGGGATGGACGCAGTTGGGCTGCCCAGTGACACGGGCAGGAAATTTATGCAAAAGGTTTTTTAGTAGGTATAAACGGGTTTCCCAATCGCTAGGGTTCAAGCGCCGCAAAAAGAGATACATACCCAAATGTATTTCTTTCTTTTTTTTCTTTCCATTAGGCTTCAGCTAAAAATAGTTCAAGTAAAGGGGAAAAACGAAATAGGAAACATGGGAGTTTTTTTGACGCAACAGGATGTGACCCTGGGGAAAGGCCGCCAAACCGTTAAGCCAAAGAAACGGCTGGGATTTTCTACTTTATATCAAATAAAAAAGGAAGCCAACCCACACTTTTTTTTTCTGAGTAGAAACTTATTTGCGCACATAGTAAACATGATGAAAAGCCACTTTTCTGTAATAATAAAAACCTTTGGCAGCCCACAACTGTACAGATAAAAAAAAAACATTCCTTTACAGATGTTCCCCAAACCGCCTCAGAAAGGGAAACCAGTGCCACAACATTATCTAAAAGCATTCCGGATTGCCCTTTGCAAGGGCGTTTCTTTCAAGATTGGTAGGTTCGCTGTTTTCGCTTTGTTCCTCCCAAAGTTTCGGACTTTCCACAGGGGTAGAAGTGACGTGTACGGCGCGTTTTTTTTTTTTTTTGCAGCTGACACACCCCATTGGCATACCAGAGTTCGCCCATGAGTTTGTTGGAAACGAAATACTTTTGTAGGGTGAATCCGATTCTCGTTTCCTACACCTTGATCTTTTCAGTGGCCGGCTCACGCTAGATGTTTGAATGGCTTCTTTTTCCTTCTCGGGTTTGCGGCTTGCCGAACGGCATTGTTATAGTGTAATTCTCTTGAATATGGCTTCGGGAGTTTAATTGTAAGAACAATCTGTACCTTACTTTTCTCAAAAAAAGCATAGGAGTTGGAAAAATTGTTTATCAACAAATCTCTTACTTATCATTTCCATAAAGTGTTAAACATCAAATCCGTTAGTGACTCTTCAACATCCCTCTTCAGTACAAAACGTTCGTTGCATGCCGAAAAGGTGGGTTTTGAGAGCGTTTTTAAACCTTTTTTCCTCGTTTCACTTTTGCGAGTTCCTCCTCTTCGTTAAACCTCTTTCTTTAATAAAACCCTTTCTCGAAAAGAAAAATATCCCACGTTCTTCTCTGAAACTGTATAATGTCATCTTCTCTTTTGTCATTGTATTCTAAACTATGACATGATCAAAGTATAGGAACAATAAGGATTTATAACTTCCCTCAAAAAGACGGGAACAGCAGAAAAAAGGTGCACGCCTATACATGAGAAACCGTGCGGGTCCCCACCGCTTATGTGTCATCGACTCTGCTGTGAAAAAGTTTGGTAAATTTTTTTCACAAGTTATGACAGACTCATTTTCCAATAAATTTGGAAGTTGCTTTCACTCAACTATGGGGACGTCTGCCAAAAAAAAAAAAAAAAAAAAAAAAAAAAAAAAAAAAAAAAAAAAAAAAAAAAAAAAAAAAAAAACAGCTCCGATCCTGATGATCCAAAGGCTCCCTATTACGAGACGAAGCTAATCTGTGCAATGTTTTCAGAAATGAAATAATATGGAAAAAGCAGATATCCGACAGACGCAGAGAGACTCAGCCTAGTTACACGCATCACGTGTTAAAGTGTAATTTATATCTATATGACCTAGGCGTTCTGAAGTTATGTCACCCAACACAAATGTCACATTTCCCTTTCAATCAAAGAAATTCTCTTCTTCTTCTGGATGAAATTTACACCTATGAAGTTAAATTCTTCTTTTTTTTTTTACTGCTCGTCTCCGTCTGGACATGGCTTCCGCATATATCGCGTAATTTATTTGTTCTATTCACCTACAATTTCTTTCGATCTAAAAGTGAAGAGAATATTGTCGATCCAAAGAAGAATTCGCAAATCAGGAGGCATCGTAGTTCCGCACTCCTACCTATTCGATGTTAATCCCGAAGTAATTTGGGATGACATGAGGGAATTTCTGGAATAGAAAAATACCTCATACGAACCCGTCGGGGTCCGGCAACCCAACCCAATTCTGTTTTTCAATGGAAACTGGACCTTATAGCTTCCGCATTATCGCGATTGGCAAAGGACGACTTAAGGTCAAATAAGCCGCAATTTCCCCATTCGGAACGTCAAGGTTCCGCAAAATGTGATCTGAAGGGACTTCGGCTTCGAGGTTTTCTTGATTATTTTTTGATCTTGGCCATGATGTTTATTTTTTTATTATTCCTCCTTTCTTTTTGGGTTATGCGCCGATTTGCGGGGACACCGGAATCGTAGAGCACCGCAGTTACTCTCCATTTAGAGTGGTGTGTAAAAGAAGATCCCTTTCGTTCGTTGGGCTTCCAGATTCCTGTAGTGTTTATTTTCTTATTTTTGTTTGTTTTATTAGTTTACAGTTTTCTTTTGTATTTATTTTATTGCCGTTTCCATTCGAGAGATCTGATCGAGTAAACTCAACCAGATCTCTCTACTCTCACTGTTCTTACCCAAAACCCGTCCTCAGGTCTCCTTTTTGTTATTATTTTTGGTTATTATTGGGTTTTGTGTAATAGATTGGCCTCAGAAGCCGTGCTTGCAGCGTGATGAAAGCACAAGCGTGTTGTCTACCGAAATTTCTCGAAGAGAGAGAGACTGGACCGCACAGTGGTCGAGTCAAACCGAAACACGCAGGGAGTGATGGAGAGTTTGTGTGTATATAAATAGACTTGGTTTTGGTATTGCTTGAATGCTTTGTGAACATTTCTTGTTTCTTCTTTTTCACCCTTTTTTGTATTCA